CTCTAGGACTGAAGTGGGTCTCTTGTAGACAGCATATATATGGGTCCTGTTTTTGTATCCATTCAGCCTACCTGTGTCTTTTGGTGGGATCATTTAGTCCATTTACATTTAAGGTAATTATTGATATGTATGTTCCCATTCCCATTTTCTTAATTGTTTTGGGTTCGTTATTGTAGGTATTTTCCTTCTCTTGTGTTTCTTGCGTAGAAAAGTTCCTTTAGCATTTGTTGTAAAGCTGGTTTGGTGGTGCTGAACTCTCTCAGCTTTTGCTTGTCTGTAAAGGTTTTAATTTCTCCATCAAATCTGAATGAGATCCTTGCTGGGTAGAGTAATCTTGGTTGTAGGTTTTTCTCCTTCATCACTTTAAATATGTCCTGCCAGTCCCTTCTGGCTTGCAGAGTTTCTGCTGAAAGATCGGCTGTTAACCTTATGGGGATTCCCTTGTGTTTTATTTGTTGTTTTTCCCTTGCTGATTTTAATATGTTTTCTTTGTATTTAATTTTTGACAGTTTGATTAATATATGTCTTGGCATATTTCTCATTGGATTTATCCTGTATGCGACTCTCTGTGCTTCCGGGACTTGATTAACTATTTCCTTTCCCATATTAGGGACGTTTTCAACTATAATCTCTTCAAATATTTTCTCAGTCCCTTTCTTTTTCTCTTCTTCTTCTGGAACCCCTATAATTTGAATGTTGGTGCATTAAAATTGTCCCAGAGATCTCTGAGAGTGTCCTCAGTTCTTTTCATTCTTTTTTCTTTATTCTGCTCTGCAGTAGTTATTTCCACTATTTTATCTTCCAGGTCACTTATCTGTTCTTCTGCCTCAGTTTTTCTGCTATTGATCCCATCTAGAGCATTTTTAATTTCATTTATTGTGTTGTTCATCATTGCTTGTTTCATCTTTAGTTCTTCTAGATCCTTGTTAAATGTTTCTTGCATTTTGTCTATTCTATTTCCAAAATTTTGGATCATCTTTACTATCATTATTCTGAATTCTTTTTCAGGTAGACTGCCTATTTCCGCTTCATTTGTTAGGTCTGCTGGGTTTGTATCTTGCTCCTTCATCTGCTGTGTGTTTTTCTGTCTTCTCATTTTGCTTATCTTACCGTGTTTGGGGTTTCCTTTTTGCAGGCTGCAGGTTCGTAGTTCCCATTGTTTTTGGTGTCTGTCCCCAGTGGCTAAGGTTGGTTCAGTGGGTTGTGTAGGCTTCCTGGTGGAGGGGACTAGTGCCTGTGTTCTGGTGGATGAGGCTGGATGTTGTCTTTCTGGTGGACAGGTCCATGTCTGGTGGTGTGTTTTGGGGTTTCTGTGGACTTATTATGATTTTAGGCAGCCTCTCTTCTAATGGGTTGGGTTGTATTCCTGTTTTGCTCGTTGTTTAGCATAGGGTGTCTAGCACTGTAGCTTGCTGATCGTTGAGTCAAGCTGGGTGCTGGTGTTGAGATGGAAATCTCTGGGAGATTTTCGCCATTTGATAATATGTGGAGCTGGGAGGTCTCTTGTGGATCAGTGTCCTGAAGTTGGCTCTCCCACCTCAGAGGCACAGCACTGACTCCTGGCTGCAGCACCAAGAGCCTTTCATTCACATGGCTCAGAACAAAGGGAGAAAAAGTAGAAAGAAAGAATTAGTAGAAGTAGAAGAAAGAAAGAAAGAAAGGAGGGAGAGAGTGAGGAAGGAAGGAAGGAGGAAAGGAAGGGAAAAAGAAAAAGAAAGAAGATAAAGTAAAATAAAATAAAGTTATTAAAATAAAAAATAATTATTAAGAACAAAATTAAAAACAAACAAGCAAAAAAACACCAGACGGATAGAACCCTAGGACAAATGGTAGAAGCAAAGCTATACAGACAAAATCTCACACAGAAGCATACACATACACACTCACAAAAAGAGGAAAAGGGGAAAAATCATAAATCTTGCTCTCACAGTCCACCTTCTCAATTTGGGATCATTCATTGTCTATTCATGTATTCCACAGATGCAGGGTACATCGAGTTGATTGTGGAGCTTTAATCCGCTGCTTCTGAGGCTGCTGGGAGAGATTTCCCTTTCTCTTCTTTGTTCTCACAGCTCCTAGGGTCTCAGCTTTGGATTTGGCCCCGCCTCTGCATGTAGGTCGCCGGAGGGCATCTGTTCTTCGCTCAGAGAGAACGGGGTTAAAGGAGCCGCTGATTCGGGGGCTCTGGCTCACTCAGGCCGTGGGGAGGGAGGGGTACGGAGTGTGGGGCGGGCCTGCGGCGGTCGAGGCTGGCGTGACCTTGCACCAGCCTGAGGCGCATCGTGCGTTCTCCTGGGGAAGTTGTCCTTGGATCCTGGGACCCTGGCAGTGGCAGGCTGGACAGGTTCCCCAGAAGGGGGTGTGTGGATAGTAACCTGTGCTCGCACACAGGCTTCTTGGTGGCGGCAGCAGCAGCCTTAGCGTCTCATGCCTGTCTCTGGGGTCCGTGCTTTTAGCCGCAGCTCGCGCCCATCTCTGGAGCTCCTTTAAGCAGCGCTCTTAATCCTCTCTCCTCGCGCACCAGGAAACAAAGAGGGAAGCAAAAGTCTCTTGCCTCTTCGTCTGGTCCAGACTTTTCCCCAGACTCCCTTCCGGCTAGCTGTGGTGCACTAACCCCCTGCAGGCTGTGTTCACGCTGCCAACCCCAGTCGTCTCCCGGAGCTCCGAGAGAAGCCCGAGCCTCCACTCCCAGCCCCGCCCGCCCCGGCGGGTGAGCAGACAAGGCCCTCGGGCTGGTGAGTGCAGGTCGGCCCCGATCCTCTATGTGGGAATCTCTCCACTTTTCCTTCTGCACCCCTGTTGCTATGTTCTCCTCCACGGCTCCGAAGCTTTCCCCCCTGCCACCCGCAGTCTCCACCCGCGAAGGGGCTTCCTAGTGTGTGGAAACCTTTCCTCCTTCACAGCTCCCTCCCACCGGTGCAGGTACCGTCCCTATCCTTTTGTCTCTGTTTATTCTTTTTGATTTTGCCCTACACAGGTACGTGGGGACTTTCTTGCATTTTGGGAGGTCTGAGGTCTTCTGCCAGCGTTCAGTAGGTGTTCTGTAGGAGTTATTCCACGTGTAGATGTATTTCTGGTGTATCTGTGAGGAGGAAGGTGATCTCCACATCTTACTCTTTCGCCATCTTCCCCTCGTCCAAGTGTATAACTTCTTAATGGTTCTTGGATTATTGATTAATGCTTTAGAAAAATAGTGTCCATATAACACTCCAAGTAAAAACATGCAAGAGGGACCATTATATAGAGAGATACGCAGGCAGCTAATTGCCCTCCCAAAGTCCTCTATTGCTTTCTTCAGTAGTAACTAAAGATTTAAGTGACACATGGCTGACTAACTAAACTGTTCATTCCCCAACCTCTCTTGAAATAGGTGTGGCCATATGACAAGGTTCTGGCCAGTGGGTTATAAGCACAAATGATGTTTGAAACTTGGGGGCCCAGCTTTAAAAAGAAAGAAGCATACAATTCTTCTTTCCCCAATCTGCAGGTTGGAATGCTAACGTAATGATGAGCCGTCTTTAATCACTGGACAAAGGCAGACCCTAGAGATGATAGAACAAACAGATGAAAAGTTCTTGAGTTCCTGAAAGCTTCAATTTGGCATACAACCCTAAACCAAACTGCTACCAGGTGTGTGTGTGTGCGTATCTTGTTGATCACTCTATTTTTCATTCTCTTGCTGTGGTGATCTAGCCTATATTGTTGCACACACACACTATATGTTTGTAGGTTTGTTTACAATTATTTTTTTTCTAATTTGTCATTATGGCAACCTGGATTTTTATCTGATTACAAATGATTAAATGCTTTTCGTTACTTGATATTTTCACTTTTGAATTACTTGTTTTTGAATCTAGCTTGTTTAACATTTGTCTCTCAGATTTACAGCAAACAAATATTCTATGTTCTGTTTTTGCTGGTAATTGTTTTTTTTATATTATAATACTACATAGAAACAAAACAAACATAAATTGAAAATGTACACTAATCCTACTGAATAATAACAAATGACTTAAGCTATTTCTCAATTTTAGCCATTCATATATATTTATATTGTGTGGGCGTTTCCAAAACTACATATATTTTTTCTGATGAGTAGCGATATAATGATGGGAGCAAGGACTTCTCATTTTCTTTTCTTTTTTTTTTAGTGATCCTATTTGGTTTTTTATTTATTTATTTAAATATAGTTGATTTACAATGTTGTGTTAGTTTCTGGTGTACAGTAAAGTGATTCAGTCATATATATACATTTTTTTCGGATTCTTTTAAATTATAGGTTATTATAAGATATTGAGTATAGTTCCCTGTGCTATACAGTAGGTCCCTGTTGTTTATCTATTTTATATATATTAGTGTGTATCTGTTAATCCCAAACTCCTAATTTATCCCTCCTCCTCTCTTACCCCTTTGGTAACTATAAGTTTGCTTTCTATGTCTGTGAGTCTGTTTCTATTTTGTAAATAAATTCACTTGTATCATTTTTTAGATTCTAAATATAAATGATATCATATGATATTTAATTATTCATTAATTCATTTAATATGATAATCTCTAGGTCCATCCATTGTTGCTGCAAATGGCAATATTTCATTATTTTTTTTTTCAGGGGAAGAAATAGTAGGCCATATTTGAATTATTTAGAATTTATGTGTCAATTATATCAATGTGGACTTTTTAAAGACACAGTAATATAACTGGGAAAGGCAGTCTTGTGCATGCAGTCTATCTACCACAACTGGCTGCTCGAAAATGGGCCTTGAGCTTGGAACACTTCCTTTACAAGAGATAAAGAGCCCACATGCCCTGAGCCAGGCTTATCACTTTGGATGGGGTTATCTTTCCTGTTTCAGGCTCAATTAATGCCGTTTGAAGCTAGAAGCTTGTATGTCATATGGCATCTGGTCAACCCCACTGTTATATCTGTCTTTTGCAGAGAGGAGACAGGGTCCTTTCTACTGAGGCACAAGAAGGGTGTGTGTAGGCAAATTGCCCTGTGTCAGCCACTGGGAGAGACTGGATGTCCCTGGGGGACCAAAGCGCACTATTGGAGCTGACCCTGATCTGTCTCTTCTTTATGTAAGTAAAGCATTATTCCATCTATTGCTTGACTGTGTTGTGTTTTTCTTGGTGACTGATACCACGATGCAGTGGACAGAAGCGCTTGGACTTTGTTTCCTGGTGGCTGGTACTGTGATGATTTTGCTATCCTCCCATGTAGTTCAAATCCTTCCCTGGGATTGGTAACTGGCTGCATAGTGCCCTACTCCTTTGGAATTGATTTAACACGTGCAAGGAGCTCTCTCTGCTCACAATTATTACCAAATTATCAGTACAAATCTGATAGAATGCAGGATGATTGCTAATATCAAATACAACATGTTGGTAGAAATCACAAAAAATAGTAATAAATATGCTTCTAGTCTCATTGTTTGAAATGCTCAAGAAGTTTTCTATGTCATGCTTGTGAATGATGCTTTTGTGTGTTGCTGTCTTTGATGTTTGGATCTATGTCCATATAGCTTCTTCACATCATGTTGTACCTCTCATGTAACAAATAGAATATGTAGTCTTATACAGACTAGCAGTTGACTACTTTTTCATTTGGGTAGTCTAATGAGCTACCTTTACTTCTGTAATAGCCACATTCCCACAGGCATATGTTTGAAATAAATATTCAGTCCAACTTTACTTTTTATGTAGAAGTTAATGAAGAAAAGGCAATTAAATATTGTGCAACTAAAAGAGTATAGCCTAGGATATCAATAGGAGGATCAATATTCTTACATATAGACAAAAAATGAAATATTCTGAGTCTTGGTACAGAAGATGAAAGGACCCCCAATTCTTTAACATAACCCAGAATTGCATGAGTTAACATATACCTTAAGTAACAAACTTTACCTTATGCTATTTTAATCTTTCTTCAGATCCAGATCCCCAACTCTATGAAACCAGACTGATGTTCTGATGTATCCTAAAATATTTTATTGTAGTCTATTAGGTGATTGACATGGTCCAAGCCCTCAGCAATTACGTAATCTAAAAACCCAACAAATAAAAAATAAATTTAATTTAACTTTTTAGACATGTGTTGCCAAATATTCTAAAGAGAATGCAGCAAAATTTAAAAATAAACTTTACTTTCTTTAAAATCTACTTTTGTCATATCTCACAGATGCTTCTGTATAATGCTTTCTCATAATCCAACAAAAGTTTACTCCGTAGCACTGGCCTGAATGTTTTTCTCATCTTCTATTTTAGTTCACCTCTCCATTTTTGTCTCCCTCTACCCATTCTCCCAAATATCCATCACAAAACACAAAGAACCTGTCTAACGTAGGAGAAAGTAACAAAAAACCTATGCTGAAGAAAAGACAGAATGCTTTTTAATGGAAGGGAAAAAATTGTCTACTACAACTCATATATTAGTAACTTTCCTGACATAATGATTACATATATTAATAACTATGTGCAGTGGAGTTTTAACGTACAGAGAGATCTTTAGTCTTATTTTATCAATTCTATATGCAAAAAGTTTACAAATTTGAAAACTCTACTTCTTAGTCCCCTTTATTTCAACCTATAACTTCTGTATATCAATAATATATTTAAGTGATTTGCATATAAAATGAAATCACATTTTAAAATGTGTATTGACTAATATTCAATTAATTGATAAATTTCACATAAATTCCCTTAAATATTTGACCCCATTTACATACTAATTCCTTAAATTAGTTTAGGCTTTCAATCTATAATTGCAATTTAATATAGCTAACTTTTTTCAAACTTTTTTTTTTAATTGGGGTATTTTTGCTTTACAATGTTATGTTAATTTGTGCTGTACACTAAAGTGAATCAGCTATATGTATACATAGATACCCTCCCTCTTAGACCTCCTTCCCTGCCCCCATTCCACCCATCTAGGTCACCACAGAGCACCAAGTTGAGTTCCCTGCTCTATACATCAGGTTCCCACAAGCTATCAGTTTTAAATATGTCAGTGCACATACATCAATCTCAACCTCCCAATTCATCCCACTCCCCTGCCATGTCCACACATCCATTTTCTACATCTGCGTCTGTATTCCTGCCCTGCAAATAGGTTCATCTGTACCATTTTTCTAGATTCCACATATATGCGTTAATATATGATGCTTGTTTTTCTCTTTCTGACTTACTTCATTCTGTATGACAGACTCTAGGTCCATCCACATCTCTGCAAAAGATCCAATTTCGTTCCTTTTTATGGCTGAGTAATATTCCATTGTATATATGTACCACATCTTCTTTATCCATTCATCTGTCGATGAACATTTAGGTTGTTTCCATGTCCTGGGTATTGTAAATAGTGTGGCAATGAACATTGTGGTACGTGACTCTTTTTCAATTATGGTTTTCTCAGGGTATATGCCCAGTAGTGAGATTGCTGGGTCATATGGTAGTTTTGTTTTTAGGTTTTTAAGGAACCTCCATGCTGTTCTCCATGGTGTCTGTATCAATTTACATTCCCACCAAGAGTGCAAGAGGGTTCCCTTTTCTCCACACCCTCTCCAGCATTTATTGTTTGTAAGATTTTTTGATGATGGCCATTCTGACTGGTGTTAGCTGATACCTCATTGTAGTTTTGATCTGCATTTCTCTAAAAATTAGTGATGTTGAGCATCCTTTCATGTGCCTCTTTGCCATCTGTATGTCTTCTTTGGAGAAATGTCTATTTAGGTCTTCTGCCCATTTTTTGATTGGATTGTTTGTTTTTTTGATATTGAGCTGCGTGAGTTTGTATATTTTGTAGATTAATCACTTGTCAGTTGTTTTGTTTACAAATATTTTCTCCCATTCTGAGGGTTGCCTTTTTCATCTCATTTATGGTTTTATGATTTTCTTTGCTGTGCAAAAGCTTTTAAGTTTAATTAGGTCTCATTTGTTTATTTTTGTTTTTATTTTCATTACTTTAGGAGGTGGGTGAAAAAAGATCTTGCTGTGATTTAGGTCAAAAAGTGTTCTGCCTATGTTTTCCTCTAAGAGTTTTATAGTGTCCAGTCTTACATTTAGGTCTTTAATCCATTTTGAGTTTATTTTTGTGTATGGTGTTAGGGAGCATTTTAATTTCATTCTTTTACATGTAGCTGTCCAGTTTTCCCAGCACTGCTTATTGAAGGGACTATCTTGTCTCTATTGTATATTTTTGCCTCCTTTGTCATAGATTAGGTGATCATAGGTGCATGGGTTTATCTCTGGGCTTTCTATCCTGTTCCATCAATCTATATTTCTGTTTTTGTGCCATTACCATACTGTCTTGATTACTGTAGCATTATAGTAGAGTCTGAAGTCAGCTGATTCCTCCAGCTCCATTTTTCTTTCTCAAGATTGCTTTGGCTATTCAGGGTCTTTTGTGTTTCCATACAAATTGCAAAATTTTTTGTTCTAGTTCTGTGAAAAATGCCATTGGTAATTTGTTAGGGATTGCATTGAATCTGTAGATTGCTTTGGGTAGTATGGTCATTTTCACAATATTGATTCTTCCAATCCAAGAACATGGTATATCTCTCCATCTGTTTGTGTTATCTTTGATTTCGTTCATCAGTGTCTTATAGTTTTCTGAGTATAGGAGTTTCACCTCCTTAGGTAGATTTATTCCTAGGTATTCTATTCTTTTTGTTGCAGTGGTAAATGGGAGTGTTTCATTAATTTCTCTTTCTGATCTTTTGTTTTTAGTGTATAGCAATGCAAGAGATTTCTGTGCATTAATTTTGTATTCTGCAACTTTACCAAGTTCATCGACTAGCTCTAGTAGTTTTCTGGTCGCATCTTTAGGATGTTCTATGTATAGTGCCATATCATCTGCAAACAGTGACAGTTTTAATTCTTTTCCAATTTGTATTCCTTTTATTTCTTTTTCTTCTCTGATTGCCGTGGCTAGGACTTCCAAAACTATTTTGAATAATAGTGGTGAGAGTGGACACCCTTGTCTTGTTCCTGATCTTAGAGGAAATGCTTTCAGTTTTTCACCATTGAGAATGATGTTTGCTGTGGGTTTGTCATATATGGTCTTTATTTTGTTGAGGTAGGTTCCCTCTATGCCCACTTTCTGGAGTGTTTTTATCATAAATCTTAAGCACCTAAGAAGCAAAGTTACTCATTTAAAAGCCAGAATCTTACTAAGCCTATAAGAACAAATATGTTAACTCAGAGATAAATTTAGTAACTCAAATATTTAAACAACATTAAAAAATGCACATCAGATCACACAGTGATTAAATTTGTTTGTTAATTCTCCTGAATATCACAACTTAAAAGTGTTTTCTTTTTAACAATTCTGTAGTTATAAATCTATTCATACACTGAAGGCAGTAGTTCCCGAGTAGCTAAGATCACATGATCATAACTCAAAAATAGAAAATGGGTGTGAATTAAAACAATTGGTAAAATAATTGCCACAGCACATAGGCTCTGGACAAAAGTGACTCAACAATAAAAGCAAAATAGGACTTGAATGAGACCCAAGACTATACCAGAGAATGGTAATACGAGTAATTTTTACAGTTTTTTTCCTGCCATGTAAATTAGGTTTTCCAATAACCATGCCCTTCAACTGGGACTTAGTTAATCATGCTGTTTCCCATAGTTAATCATGCTGTTTCCCATTTCTCAAAACTTACCCTTCCATTGAAATAATCCAAAGCTAATATAAAGAATACCAGCGGAGGCTTCCTTGGTTTTCAGATGTTAATCCCCTTTTGTATAAACACTGAGTAATTAGGAATAATGAACATAGCAAAGTTTCAGCTTCCATCTTTCTTAACCAATTTGTCAATTTAATGAATATGATATTCTGTGTCTTCTAACTAATAGGCCACAATTGCAATCACTAGTTCTGAGTTATGAACATAATATGAAAGATTATCTTTCTCACTTTAATTGCTTTTGCAATAATTCTTAAATAATCTCTTTGAGAAAAATATGAAGTTGCAGGAATTTTCTGATGCCTTGAAGTTGGAGATTTGGTAAAGATAACTTTCTTACTCATTTGTATGTCTTGCATTATTAATTACATCATGAAAATTTGTAATTTT